TATATATATATATATATATATATATATAGCAGAGACACAGGCAGACTCCATAAGAGAGGGAAGCGCAAGGAGACAGGCAGAGCAGGGCCTTATGCAGACGGAGACAGCAACGACCCCGGGGACAGGAGAAGCAAACCCCGTAACCCCGTAGCCGCAGAGACTGAACGACCCCCAGACAGAGACTTAACTATGATACAACAGAAAAGGAAGCAAGAGGAGGCAGAGATAGGGAGTCGGGGTTGCAGACAGAGACACCAACAGTGAAGTAGACGGAGACCAAGGACACACACAAGGACCGGACACAGAGATGATAAAGAGAGACAGGAACAAGCCACAAAAAGGGAGTCCGAAAGGGAGGTAGAGAGGGTGTGCAGCAGCTGCTGCAAACTAGATTTGAACTGACAGTTGCTCCTGCTGCCTACTGCGTTGTGTTGCAGAGCGTCTCAGCGGGTGATTTGTTCGCTGTTGAGGGTGGGAGAACCCGAGGTGTTATCCCGCGCCTGGGCGGTGCTGCATCCGCATTTGCCCTTTTTGCTGAAGACCAAAGGAGTTTTTGTCGTCTGCCGCCTCTTCAAACGAGCTTCCGAGACACAACAGAAGTCGCTTCAGACAGAGGTGGGATTCTAACCCATACCCCTTGTAGTTGCTGCTGTTTTCGAGTTGTTCTTCTGTGTGCTGAGCTTCAACAGCTTGAAGCTGCAACAACGTTTCTTCTTGCTGCCTTTAGATGCTTCGCGAACTACAACCTAAACTGCTTAATGACGCAGAGGAGGCGCTCTTAAGGGCAGGTGGGCAAGCACGGGCATACGACTCAGAAACTATGGTTAGGGGTTTAGGTTTAGCATCTAGGATGGTGTGTCAAGCAGGTAGCGCATAGCGCTCAGCCTCTGGAATTTATTGGTTAGCATGTAGGGCTTAGGCTGTATTGTAACTTGCTGGGTTTTCAATCCTTCCTTGTCTGGTATGGCGTGGGCATATTATGGGTTTGTGCGTTTGCTCGTGTTATGCAGGGTCTCTGTCTACCGGCATACAGCTGCTGCGTCAGGACCTTGGCATATAGCAACCCCAAGACCGGAGCACCAGCATCGGCTGCTTAGGGTACTGCAGTTAGCTGCAACTAGCCACGCCTAGCCAACGCCAGCAAACTGACGGTAGTTGCAGGTGCAGCAGCAGGCGCAGCTAGCCGAAGGCGTTGGGGGGAACTAGTGGTTTTGCGATCAGTGTGTTGGGGTTTAGCTTGTTGCCACTCGTTGGTTTAGATTGTTGTTATTAGGTGGTTTGCGTGGTTGTCATTCGTCAATTTAGATGGCTTCCATAGGTTGGTTTAAGTGGTTGCTTTTAGGTGGTTTAGGTTGTTGTTACTAGATGGCTGTGTCCGCCATCTAATGATAGATTAGATGGCTGTGTCCGCCACTCCACAACCATCACTTTATAATGACAACTTTCAAGCGAAAGAGGCCAGCTGCTGTTTGGTGGGCTCTGTTTTTTTCACGATGCCTTTGCTGCGTTCTGCTCTAGTTGACGTTTTGGTTGTTGGACTGCAATTTGGTGGGGTTGCTGTGCAGCAAGCCACTGGGGAGGGGCCGCTGACCCGTAGCTGCAGCAGCAATACAGTCTAAGACATGTAACCGATCTCCTGGAAAGGGAGTGCCACTGCTGCTGCTGGCGCCTCTTCTGCCACCTCTGGGGAGGCAGACAGCGAAGCAGACAGGTTAAGGCTGGCAGAGACGAACATATGGGCACAACCGGGTAGTATCTAGGTACAATTCCGTTGATTCTCGTGCATGCTGCATTTACCATTGTGTGAAGAAATCATCCATTTATCAGAAGACACAAATAACCACACGCTGAATATAAGTAGACGAACGAGCCCACAGCTCTCAATGCTTTGCTTTTAAGCTGACCAAAACCCTCGTCATTGCAAGGCCGGTCCTGTATCATACCCGAGGACGATTGTGAGCTGCAAGGGAGCTAAAATGCTTAAGATGTGAATTTGTTTTAAAGAAGCTGACCTCGGTCAGTCTGGTGGCTCCCTGCGCTCAGATGATCAACTGCCTGAGAGAGACGGCGGTCAGCCATAACTCGTAAGGCATCTTGCTGCAACACAAGGTGCAACATGCACGCAACTGGCAAGCCTTCATAGCACTGCAAATACTGTAGACAGTTGTTGAGAGCTTCTGCTGGCGTAACGTTTGTCTATGAGGGCCCCATAATGCTGGATTTACCCTCGTTAGACAGGCTTATGAATACCCTACCCTACAGTTATGGTCTCCTGTATAGGCGAAGCAGGTTAGTAGGTTGGAAATTCAACTGAATGAGTGGGTTAGTGTATGGATGGCATTACTCGTCGAGGCATTTTTAATTTATACTTATCATAGCTATTGGCCTTATTGTATTTCATTAGAAGCTCAACAAGTCGTGACGAGAAAATGGGATTTGGACATGCGGAATGTTAAGCTCCGCTGGCTTCGAATCCGATTCTCAACGTGGGCAATTCTTGAATGGGTGAGCGTATGTATGGTTGGCACACAAAGACTCGCCACCAGCAAACTATGAATTCCAGCATTTTCCATCATTCTTAGCGTTGATGTATGAGACGTGTATTTGTTTTAATGAATGAATTGTGCCATTCATTGGTGCGGCGGGTAAAGGCATTCTGTACGTTGATAACAAAGCCACCCAGCAGCCATGCAAAGTAAAAGAGGAAGAAGAAACACACCATGTAACGCAGGCTTAATCGTACTGGATTGTAGGGCAAACACACTCACACATGTACACTACCTGGTTGCAGTATATCCACTGCAGATGGCGTTTGCGCAACCAAACAATGTGCGTGTGATAATGCGCTTGCCCTATAATCGACTAAGGTTCACTCTGCGTTGTAAAATCGTTTGCAATACATGGAAATCCCCACTTGCGGGGGATGGCGACTGCTCCTCAAGGTAGATAATTTGCGGAAGTCACTTAACACATTCAAGTAAAAAGTGAGGAGATGGGAAACACTGCTTACCATGCACGGATGCTGACGTGGAGGCAATCAGTCAAAACCCTATAGATCATAGCTTTGCGGCACTAGCTTTTTTTGCAGCTAGCGCGTTAGCCAAACATTTGAATCAATACAACGCGTTGAGACTTACGAATCTCATTGGTGGGAGAAGCCATAGTCGAAGGATCAAAAAAGAGCTTTTCTATGTAGGCTTGGCTGCTACAAGCTGGCACTCTCTCTAGTAACTTTTGAGACCTCTGGCTGAAAGTTGCTCATAACCAGAAGATCGATAGGCCATGATTTCACAATTTGTAATAGTACTGAAAATCTAAATCAAGCTTGCGCTTTTCCTCTCGGTTAACATGAGTTTTCTGTTCCCACTCAGCACCCGCGCTACTGCTCCACCGATGAGCCGTCCCAGCCCCCGCATATGCATGTTTCATCTACATTGACCAGCATCCTGAAACGTACCTTAAGATATAACCAGATGCCACGTATTCGTATCAACTTAACTAAAAACGTAAAACGACAATGAGGGTAGCGGTGTTTCACGATCGACAAAACTTCCCCCTCTGCTACAACGCGCAGGCCATTCCACAAAGTTGAAGTGGAACCACGTTTAACAGGTTCCTCTTTCCCCGCTGATGTCTTTGGCTGTAGTTTCGTTAGATACTAGACAGATACAGTGGGAATCCCGTTAACCCATTCATCCACATCATTGATTAGACAGCCTGGTATTTGGCTAAAGTCAGGCAGACGAGAGAATGGCACAGCCACAGGAAGACAGCAACAAAACGACAAAGAGACACGGTTGCACAGATATGTGCGAGTAAATATTGCACAGAACACTATACTAAAAAGGTGTGCGTATATGGGTAGAGGTCCAAGACCAGACAGAAACAGGAAGACAGGCTACTCAGCGACAACGAATGTGGTATTGACGGCAAAGGGCTATACTACAGCTCGTGCTTTGAGTTCAAGGGCCTGCACGGACGCAGGACAGGAGATTATATCCTCGTGAATAGCAGACTTCGTCCGTATCTTTCCCTTGTAGCTACCTGCACCAGAACGGAGGTGTTTTGGGGGGAGACCAGCAAGCTGCAGCTAATTGTCGAGAGCCCTTACTCGAGGCTAGTTGAAGCTTCCTGCGCGTAAACGTAGTCGGCTAGCTACAGTTGGCCAGATGAAGAGGCTATGGAGTGTAGGTCTATTTTGAGTTGGAGAGGACCTGAGACCATTGGTCCTCTTAGGTTGTGGGGCGGGCTTCTGCCGCCCTGAGAGATTCTTAACTCAACTCTTCTTGTATCACGTACAAGCGCTTATGAAACTATAATGAATTATTCAATAGTTGAGCCAAAATAAATGAAGAAGGCTGCTGCAACTTCTTTGCACCCGTCGTTCTACCCCACAGGCACGAGGGCAACTCGGTAACAGGTAATAAACACGTAGGATGCCCCTATGCTCATTTGGTTCCTCCACTTAACAAAACCTGACTTATTTTTATGTGTTCATAGAGGCAGATATTCACCGCCTCCTGTCTTCGCGTCAGATCTTGCACAGCTAGCTGTGTGCGTGAGGTATCGATTCGGAGTGATGCGCAGTCTGAAATGCGCTTTTGCTTCATGAAATCATATTATTAAAGTCATCGAAATGTCGTCTAATATCCTTTTTAATATTGAATATAGCTGTAAAGTAAGTAACTTAAGACATAGGCGCCCCCCCCGCAAACAGCAACAGCCAGCAACCGCTCACGGACGCGGCTAAATCGGGAGAAGAAATATTCGTGTGTGGGATTCCTCGCTGAATTTCTCCTTCATTAAATCACAAATTCAACATACTAAAATTAACATATGTTTTACGGTTTTGCTCAGAGCAAATATAACCAGGAGAAACGCTATTTCAGTAGCCGCACCACGGCCAAGCTGCCGCCTCGATTCGCCGGGACACCTGCACACACATACGATTGCGCATATTCTCCTTCTCCCTTGCACAGGCTCTGCCTCCTTTGGAGTCATTATATTTATTTTTGACAGTACTTTATTTTATTTGTATTGTTTTAATGCAATGCTCGGGGAGAACAGGGAGAACCCCCCGAGCACCGCTTAGTATCATTGTTTTGTCCCCTGCTTTGTTCAGAAGATGGCACCCTCCCCCTCCTCCCGCCGCCCTCTCATGAGGCGTTTAACAGCTGTTTGCGTTTTTTCAGTCTTTAGCGGCTTTTTCTGCACCTCTGTTGACTCATTCAGGCCCAATGACGCGCCGAACAGCTATCCAGACCCTGCGGTGTCCGAACATACCACCACACAGGGAATCATTCAACCTGACGCTTTCAGCGCTGTCCAAACAAGCACCCGCGTTAGCACCAACGAAGAAGGAGCGTCCCTAGCGGCGTATATGGACTTGCAAAGGGCTCTTGAGGCTTCAGCAGCCGGTGTGTCTGTGGATCTTCCCCACTCGACGGAATTCGCTGAAGCTTTCGTCGAATATAAAAACACCGGCATCTGCGACAGCTGGACAGACTCAAGCACCAACAAGGTTAGTGCAGCAAAATCAGGTGCTGCCTCAACAGCAGTAGAGGCAGCGGCAGCAACTTCAGTAGCAAGGGCAGTAGCCGATGTAGCGGTAGCAGTAGCAGCAGCTTCACCAGGTCTACACTGCACTCACTTCTTTACTCTAGCTGCGTGCGATACCTCATCGAGCAGTATGCATGCGCACATTCTACGAAGAAACATTGCATACATGCATCTTATTGCTATATTTTGTACTCTATATTGCCTGTATACGATGTAACGTAGCGTTGCATGTATTCTCGTTTCATATGCGCATACTTTTTAACACCGTTATGAAACGTTTCGTAATACCGGCATATAACCTAATGCACTGTTTATATCTAATGCGATGTGATGCCTATATATTATGTAATGCGATATTTTGCAATCTCTATGTATAATACAATTGTTGACTACACAGTAATGCAATAAGATGAATTACATAATATCCAAGTACGGCACGTTTCATACCGGTGTTAAAAGGTATGCGTATATGAAACAAGAATACATGCAACGCTACATTACATCCTCTACAGGCAATATAGTACTTTATATGCACATATTTTATACCGGCTTTACGTTACATTTAAGCACTATATTCAATACAGGTGCACCATACGCATACGTTTCATCATGTGCAGACATGTTTTACAGACGCTAAATTGACCTCACACATTATATTTTACACGCACATTATGTTATACAAAGATATTGCACTACATTCTGGCAGTACATGACAGACGGTCATTGTAATATATTATGTGGAAGCATTACTTTATATACAGAGACGCATGCGAAGTTGTGTATGTGCGTGCATGTCTGCTGCATCTTCTTTGAGTGGAGTTGGTGTTACTCTCTGCAGCTGTTTGTGCCTACCTTTGTTTTGCTCTGCAATTCTCTTCTTAGGTTTCCACAGGCTTGTCTGAGGAGAGGATGGAGGAACTGCTTCTGCAGCGCGATGGCGAGAAGCCGCAGAAGCCGCAGCTGGAAGAGGACGAGCAGCGGCTGATTGTAGAGCAGCTAACATCAGGGGACGACGATGAGGTTGCAGTGGCTGTGTTGGAATCGGTGTTTAGACCCCTCCCTTTGACTTGCCTCGTCATCGGATCCTTCGTATTGCTGCTGTATATATTTTTCTTGTTGCCACAAAAGTGCTGCATGAGATGCAGGCGACTTTGCTGCTGCTTAGCTCGAAAGACAAGACAGTTCTCTTCCTGTTTTGTCTTGTGTTGCACCGTCTTCGGAGGCCTTCTAGCCGCTGCTGGAGTGTACATGATTATTCACGGTCAAGCTTCGATGCAGCAGTCGCTGCACGCGTTGGGGGCCTCCAGCTGCTCTGCTCTTGAGGCTGTACAGACAGCGGAGTGGGGATACCAGGGGCCTCCTCTATTGCAGCAAGGAGACACCAGCAGTGTCGTCGCTCAGCCCCGTAGTGTCCTGTCGCAGCTGCTGCATGCAGGAAGCAGCAGCAGCAGCAGCAGCAGCAATAGCTTTTTGGGGGTTCGCTTGCTGATGGACGCGCTGAAGGGCATCGAAGGGCTGCTGACCGCAGGCAGCAGCAGCAGCGTGTCGCAAATGATTCTAGACTATGTTAATAACAGAGGTTCGTTAGAGCAGAATAAGGGACACCTTTCCAAAGTCCATACTGCCTCTTCGTTCAACCTGAAGGAGCTGAAGAAAGTAGCGGACGAGCACTTTATGAAAAACCTCTTTATTGAATCTGTCGAGACACTGGGCGACGGTGTGTACACATCACTTCTCGCCTCTCCGGACAGCTTCACTTCTGCAGTTACAAAGGCTGTACAGCAGACGCCGTTGCCTTCGGTGGATCTTACAAGCACAGTTGACTTGCAGCCGCTGACTGCTGCAACTTCGGAGCTAGAGCGGGTTGCTGCTGAGGCTACCCGTACCGGAGGGTTTGTTGCTGTCTTGGGGCCCCTGTTGCTGTGGACGGAGGTAGCGTTTGTATTTTTAGCGGTTGCATTTGCCGTTGTTGCTCTTATTCTCTTCCTTGGAAGCAAAGGGAAGCGCAGCGAGACCTTCAGCGGCATAGCGTGGATTTTGCTGCTCCTGATAACAGCCGTAGGCCTCCTCCTCACTGGCGGTCTCTTTCTGGGACATTCCCTCGGCGACCCCCTCTGCTCGTGGGGAATAGAGAAACTATGGGGGCAGCAGCCTGCGCAGGATACGCATGAAGGAGACAATCATCTCGGCGGTCACGAAGGTGAATTCTCCTTGGGTGTAGAAGCTTCAGACACCTTGAAGCGCTGCGTCACTGACGACAGCTACAACTTCCTAGAAGAAGCAGGGCAGCCGATGCTAATCAGCCAAGCTCAAGAAAGTCTGCAGAAAGCACAAGACGCAATCCTTAAGTCTATGCCGCAGTACCAGGCTAGCAGTGAGCTCGAAAGTAAGTCATTTGGAGGCAATTATCCAAGGGACCTTAGCCCGAAACCCTTGACAAAAAACCCCAAACCCTTAACAATCGAGTGGAGACAATTAACCTTAACTCTAGTGCCTAAATCCTACGTCCATCAATGTAGGACATTAACTGCCATCATTGGGTGAGTACTTCTGCCCTGTTGTTGAGGGCCTAGGGTTTGCGGTTTAGGGTTGGTGTGTTTTCTGCTTAGACGTGGAGAAAATTCAGCAGTCGGTTAATGATCTTGGATACCTCTTTATCTTCGACCAGGAGAAGTTGGCGAAAGACCCCTCAAAAAGAAGCCTGCTAGACACATTTCCAGAGATCCTCAATGTGAGTTTGCTTCTACTGCTTCTCGCATAGATGCCGTCGCGTGTGCCTGTTCGAGCAACCGTCGCTCTAAGCCCCTGTGTGCCGTATTGAAGTCACACTCGAAGAGTGCTCCAGGAACCGTAAACACTACACCATTGAACCCAGAAGCGTCAGCGCTGGAGCAAGACCCAAAGTGTACACTTTAAACGCCAATCACTAAACCTCAAACGCTGAACCTTAAAACCTGTGTGGTGTTGTTATTCGTGTGTGGTGTCTCAGAGTGGCATTCAGCTGACGACCACGACGGTCTCTATAGCAGGGGAGAGCACGAAAGTGTTGGGATTGTCTGACGTCAGCAAGTTTCTCTATCCCTTTGCGTTGGAAGGCTTCGAGGGAGTTAACCCAACAATCACGATCACAGCTGATTACCCCGAGCCTGAAGACGGCAACTTCGTGTTAGCCCTGGATGCAGTGGAGGCCAAAAAGGTTGGTCTACCCACAAACCCTAAAAGCCACAGAGCAGCATCCGGACTGGGGGTCTTAAATATCAGCAATTGTTTTTACAACAACAATAGTAGTCATAACAAGTAACTAGCTGCTCCACACACCGACAACACACCAAGCTCAACAACCTTACATGTAACTCCTGCTCCGCCATACACAGATTCGAATGCCATCAGTGGGTTCGATCTAGCATATTCGGTGGGTATGTTAAGTGCATCAGGTGCACAGAAAGAGGGAGCAAGCAAGTTGATAATTTGCAAATACGCGCCAAACACACAGATATCAAACAATATGTACCCTCCTATGAGTACTTTTGTGAGGCACTGTGTGTGTTGATGTGTCTTGTGATGTTTAAGAGGCAAGAGCTGCAAGCTCAAGGTGACATACAAGCGATTTCAAAGGCAGCGGACTACAGGAAGAAGTTCAGAAACGCAGCACTACTCTGCAAACTGAAGCTGCAAATCCTGGAAAAGATGATTCCTTGCTATCGCTTCTCCTCCAACGGAGACCCCATACGCACCAGCTGCAGCGGCAAGGAGTTCTTTGGCCAGCCCAAACTCGGCGACTGGAATGTCGTGGAACAGTCGGTGTACTATCTGACAGTAGCAAGTGAGACAGGGGTTTCGGGTTTAGGGTTTTGGTTTCCGCTTCCGCGAGGTGTGTCTGCACCTCAGCGAGTTTCGGAAACAGCTATCTAATAAACAACGGCACGGGGAGTTCACAAACACAAGCCTAGACACCAACAGCAATAGCAGCAAGGAGGCTGCAGCTGCAGCTGCAGCGGATGCTGCAGCACTTAGGATAGAGTGTGGAGACAGCTACACGACAACATACGCAAAACCACACACACAGACAGACATAAAGTGGAGGGCAACCACAGGCGCAAACACTAAAACACAACCGAAGAGAGAGACGCAGGTAGTGACTGCGACAGACACGACAAGGGTAAAGAGAGGCGAATAAACATGTTAAGCAGAGCCAGACACTGAAAAGCAGCATAATTCAAAACAATTACGAAGCAAATGCGGGATAAACAGACAAACAGGCAGGCAGGCAGACACTGACGGACTGTCTAACACTCAGAGAGAAAGACCAAAAAGAAGGAAATAAGTAGAATAAGAGCGAACGACACTAGCAGACGAACTACGAAAGCCTTGGAAGGCAATATGCTGGGATTTTGATATCTCCTTCTTTTATTGTCTCTTCTCAGGCCGCCATTTGAACGAAAGCATGCAACGCTACACCACGGAAGTTTGTAAGCTGGCCCCAGATGTTTCATTGGCTTTCTGTCGGTCGGCCTGTCGGTCGGTCTGGTTAGATTTACGTTTGCCTGTACACGCACGTCTCTTTCTGTCTGAGAAAGAGACGACTGTCTGTACCTCTCCCATCCTCCGTGCTCATCTCTTTGTCTTTATATCTCTCTGCACCTTTGTCCCTCTGTCCTTATGCTCTTATATTTCTTCGCCCCTTTATCTGTTGGTGTCTGCTTCTGCCCGCGCCCCGCTTCTACTGTTGTCTGTGTGCTGAAAATACACCTGGTGCCGGTTTCCCTTCTGTGCTTTTGTGGTGGCCACACTACTTCCCCTTTGCAAACTAGTTGTGTATTGTTGTATTTGTTTCAAATGCTGTTTAAGCGATGGGTCTGCAACGTGTGCAGAAGAAAAAGAGAAGGCAGGCGAGTGCATTTAGGTAGTGCATGCAGAGAATACATGAAGCGAACGCATGCAACCGGTACCTGTAGCGGGTGCGTGCAAAGAGTTCCTGTGTGTTGCGTTGTGTTGCAATATGTTTGCAGCTGATTACATAAAGGGGATGCTGGGCCTTTTGCAGGCAATCCTTTCGAATCTCTCAGACTCCCTCAACTGCTCTTTCGTCAGAGAGCACATGCTGACTTCGGCCTACTTGGGTTGCTACGAAGGCATAGACCGCAGTTGGAATGTAGGAATGCTTACCAGGATAACCCTTAGCATGCGTCAATTCAATCCTCCCCTATTTATATAATGATTGAAGTCGTCGTTGTGTTAATGCTGCGAATTCAGGCCGCAATGCTGCGTCTGATCGGGGAGCTGTGCGCCGTCCTGCTGGGTTTGTTGCTGTTTGTCTTGTGGCGCATGCAACGGGATAACTCCCAACTGCAGCGGCAGCACCAGAAGCATGCAGAGCAGCAGCCGCTGAGAGGGGAGGGAGAGACGGAGAAGGTGGCGTTCGACGAGACAGGAGTAGACGCCACCACAAAGGAAAGGGAGACAGAGCAGCCCGTCGAGGGCTCAAGCTCCATGTGGGCCTAAGGGATCTGTATGCACAGGGACAACTCCCTGCTCCTGCAGCAGCAGCAGCAGCAGCATGGCCTTCGAAGAGACAGTGCCTTCATAGTATCGTCTGTCTCCTCCTGCCGCAGCGGCGAAGAGCAAAGGAAGCGGCTGGGCCTGAGTTGGAATCTCGCCTATAATTCCCAGCCACGAGTCAGCAGCTTCTGCGTTCCTTCTTGCAATTATATACATAGTTCGTATGCATCTGTAGCAGGTTTTCCCTACCTTATAAAATATATATATACATATTGCTGTATTGCATAGCTCGAGATATTTATATGCAGTTTAATATATATATA